TTATATAAATTTTAAATATAATTATATATTTAAATATTATATTTATTTATATATATATATATATAATTTATTATAAATTTTAGTTATATAATTAATATTCAATTTTTTCATTACTTAGTTACATTAATTAATTGATTAGTTTATATTTTTCTTTTGAAATAAAGGACAGATGATTTTTCTATTTTCCATCCAATGGCTCCATGTAGCATGTTCAATTTAATTCGAATTTTTTTTATAAAAAAAAATTATGCAATATACAACTATTATATGTAGTAGATAAGTATTTTAACATGTAAAATATATTTTAAATTTATAATAAATATTTATATTGTATTATTCATCATTCACAAAGAGTTCAAATGATTGGAATTTGTCTCCTAATTTTTTTTTTGTTTGGATATAATTATATTGTGTTGTGATTTCCTTTGTACTTTATTGTATATGATGATAAATATATCTTGATTTTCACCATAATGGTATAAATTAAATTGAATTAGAAATATAGATAAAGATTATGTTCATAACTTATAGTTGGTAGTATATTTTATTTAGTATGAAATGAAAATATGATTTTATATATATCAAATAGTTACACTAGGTTTAAAATTTAGATTATACGATAAAAAAGTTATCTGTATATAACTTAATTAAATTAATAAATGAATTTATAACTCTTAAATATATTGTGGTGATAAATATAGATGAGAAATTATAAAATATATTTACACACTTAGATTCTAGAATACATGATAGAAAATTATTCAAAATAACCATAACAGTCTCATAAGCATAAAATTGTAATAGAAAAAGTATAATCTTTATGAACATATATAATATTAATGGTAACTCAAATAATAATTATAATATTAATATTATAGATTAAATGAGAAGTAAAGTATTTGACATAAAATTTCATACATTAGTGAACACTTATTTAAATTTAAATATTGATCACCAAAACACATAAACAATTTAAAGTAAAAAAATTGAAAAAAAAATATAATTAGATTGAAGCTTAAATTATAATTATATTTTCAAAATTTGATGAAATTATGATCATAGATATGCATGTTGTTCTGGTTAGAATCTTGAAGTTTGATTGACCATACCTCTAATATGTATGTATGGAAAGTACCATATTACAAAGGATTCATGTGTTGAAGATTTGGGAGAAAAATTAGTTCCTGATGAAAACCCTTATGGTAAGTGCATAACTAGTTAGCTAACTTTAGAGTAGTGGAAGGATGATAGTTAGTTGTAGATATTTGATTACTGTGAATAATAAATTTTATCCAGCCTCACAAAAATAATGAAATGCACATCTATTATGAAAAGGAGAAGCTCCCAAAGTATGTAGGCTACACCTTATGACAACAAGAAAGTTAAAAAAAAAGTGAAAAAAAAAAAAGTTTGTAATCCAGAACGGGCCGTCCCAAATTCGGAACGGACCGTTCCACGCTAGAAAAAAATACAACAACCCTAATTTAGAACGGGCCGTTCTAAGTGACTGAAAGGATCTAAAATTCCTTACGTGGAACAGGCCGTTCCAATTTCAGAATGGCCCGTTGCACGTTTAGAACGGGCCGTTTTGAGTTTAAAACGGGCCGTTCCAGAGTCACATTTTGCTTGTAACGGTATGATCCAGAACGGGCCGTTCCGACTTCGGAACGGGCCGTTCTAGTCAGGTCTGACGTCTATAAATAGACGCGTTGGGCACAGTTTTCAGGACCCCAGAAAAATTTCGTCCAATACTCTTTAGAGCTCGAATTTTTTTCTCTCTCTCCTCCCTCTCTTTTGTATTTCTTGAGATCTGAGACACCTCTATAGTGTGAAAGGTAGCCAAAAAGCACCTTCTTAATCATCATATTCGAAGATTCATCTCATTTGGTATCGTTCTTTTCTTAACTTTTTTTCTTCTTTCTTTTATTTATTTGTTTATTTTATTTTTTCATTTATTTTTTGTTTATTTATTTATTTATTTTTATTTATTGTTTGTACATAGTGAATATGATTTTTTGCCTTTAAGATTATTATTTATAAAAATATTTAATATACGACCAATAATAATGTTAAGTGAATAACATTTTTATCTTTAACATTATTAGGTCCTAGGAGTTTAATGACTAGTCATTTGCTAGCTTAAACTCTCCTTAACAAATTTGTTCTTTTAAAAAAAATAAAGATATGTTGCAAACAATAACGTTAATTAAGTAACACTTCTATTTTTAACGTTATTGGAGGGATTTATTGATTAGCCATTTGCTAACTTGAATC